CGTGGCAGAGTTGACTTTTCTAGGTCACGTTGTGAGCGCCAAAGGATTATTTCCGTTGATGTCATCCATTGAGGCGATAACAAAGGCACCATCACCTACAAATATTAACGAACTCCGCTCGCTACTGGGGCTTGCAGGCTTCTATTCCAAGTTCATTCCTCATTTTTCGGATGTTGTCGAGCCAATGCGCGCCTTGCTACGAGGACAAGCCTCTTTCGTTTGGAGTGCGGCAGCACAGAGCAGTTTGGAGCGCCTGAAATCTCTGCTCACATCTTGCGAAGTGCTTCATCTTTTCGATCCTCACTTGCCTGTGTTCGTTACAACTGATGCTTCAGGATATGGATTAGGTGCAGTACTTCAGCAAGACAACGGGACCTCACTGCAAACTGTCGCATTCGCCTCCCGCACACTTCAACCGCATGAGCGGAAATACTCAGTCGGCGAACGTGAGGCCCTTGCCTGTGTTTGGGCTTGCGAACACTGGCACGTTTATCTATGGGGACGACCTTTCATCTTACGAACGGATCACGCAGCGCTGGTTACGCTTCTTTCGACGAAAGGCACCGGTCACCGACCATTAAGGATTGCGCGCTGGTCCTCACGGTTGCTCTGCTACAACTATACCGTCGAATACAGGAAAGGTAGCGAAAACGTCGTGGCTGACGCTCTCTCCAGGCTACCCGTCCAGAGTTTAATCCGCGATGCACCAGAAGAGGAATTTATCTGTTTGTTGTCTCCCGTAGTTACCATGCCAGAACTTCAAGAAGCAAGTGCCAATGATCAGATTATCTGTGAAGTTAAGCACTTCACGACTACTTCTTGGCCTGACAAGAAATCACTGTCAAAAGAATTGCTACCTTACTTTTACGTGAAGGCTGAACTCTCTGTTGTAAGTGATATCCTATGCCGGGGTGACAGGATTGTCGTGCCTGCAACGTTGACACGCCGCCTTATGGATCTGGCCCACGAGTCACATCCAGGCATTAGTCGTACCAAAGCTCGCCTGAGAGAGTCCTATTGGTGGCCATGCATGGATAGTCACATTGAAGAACTGGTGCGCACATGCGTGATTTGCCAGTCTTGTGACAAGTCCGCACGTACCTTTCCAGCGCCACTGCAACCTGTTCCTCTTCCTGACGCGGCGTGGGAAAAAATTGCCATCGACATTGTGGGACCTTTCACGCAAGCTTCGGCCGACTGCCGTTTTGCGATTACTGTTATTGACTATTATAGCAAGTGGCCTGAAGTGGCGTTCGTGCGAGATGCGACCACGTCTACAGTGAAGAAGTTTTTACTTGAACTTTTTGCGCGAGAAGGCTACCCACGTAGTATTGTATCCGATCATGGACCACAGTTCTCTTCAGCAAGCTTTGACGAGTTTCTCACGGAGCGTGGAATAACGCACTACAACTCTTCCGTGTATTACCCACAAGCTAACGGCTTGGTGGAGAGATTCAATAGGGTGCTGAAGTCGTACATTCAACTAGCCCTGCTTGAACGTCGTGACGTACGAACAGCCATGCTTGATTACCTGCAAGTATATCGCTGTACGCCTCACGCGACTACTGGTGCGACACCCGCTGTTCTTCTTCATCGACGCCAACCTCGCACCAGACTTGACATATTGGGATTGCCCGACAGATGCTTCAGCACGGACCCGTCAAGGGCGATTGAACAGCTACGAGAGCATGTCAAAAAGAAGCAAATGATCTCGAAGAGCTACACCGATGAAAAACGTGGAGCCAAGGAACCCAGTTTCGTCGTTGGTGATTACGTGCGCGTTAAGACAACTGCAGCTCACGGTAAGCTGTCTTCACAATTTTCCGCGCCCAAGAAGATCATTGGAAAACGGGGACCGGCCTCGTACCTTTTGGACGATGGGCGTGTGTGGAACGCATCTAAGTTAATCGCAGTTCACTCCGGAGCGGTCAACAAAATGAAATCGGGCACCCCTGCTGTTATGAACTGGACACCTGCATTTAATCGGTCTTCTCATGCATTACAGCCTGAAACCGCTGCCCTTATGAACTGGTCCCCTGCATCTGATCGGTCATCTAGTGCGCCCCAATGGGACACATCAAGAGCGGATGGTCATGAAAGGGCAGACCCCGTATCATCTCCACCAGACGGCACGCAAGCTTTGACCAGTCCAGGATTTAATGCGCCTGCAAGGAAAAGCAAGCGTAAAAAGAAGACCCCAAAGAAATTGAAGGACTTCGTTAGGAAGTAGACAAAAACAGTTTTGTGTGTTTCTACCATTTATTTTTATTTTATTTTATTTTATTTTTTTTTTTGCAAGAGGGGATATGTGGTATAAGGCGTCGCTACCGACTACAGCGCTGTGCGGTGGCACGCGCTCGGTGGCCGCCACGGGGGAGAAGGAAGAAGAGGAAATAAACAAGATGTCTCCGTTTATGCTGTGCTATTCATTATGCACGATGTAACAAAGATGACTCAAGGAGTTAAAATCAGTCTTCACGCATTGGAGCAGCTTACTCCCCATCTCGCAGACTTGGCCCGCCTCCTGCTTTTCCATCGCTTGGCTCTTTCGTGACTCAAAATGTCCATCTCACATCTAGCACGCTCACAATGGTCGGGATAGAGCTGCGGAGCTCGGACGATGCTACGCCAAGCCCTAGACTTACCATTTCCACGGTACCGCAGACTTGCCAAAATTTGCATTTTCAACCTGGCGATGCGATGTCACATGTGGTACCCTCATGCAGTGGTCACCAATCCAAGAATCGAACTAATTCAGAAGCAAATCATACATCAAACCTCGTACACAGTTGTCTTTCAGAAGCGTCCGTAATCAACCACGTAACAGAAGCCTCTGAAGAGCAGGCTAGCAATGATGGCGCACCACCAACCATGCCCGATAACCAAGAAACCTGTTCACCATGCATCAACTGTCTACAGACTACAGGATGCGTCAAACCTCAAAGTATATGAATGTCCCATTCCGGAAGGCTTGCCGCTACAGCCATCTCCCGAGCAGCATCAGCAAAACAAGCATAGCCAAGCGCGCAACCTCATGCGACAACAAAATAGACTGCAACGAAGGCATCAACGAACGTGAAATTCACTGGAAGCACACTCACAAATTGAAGAACAGCGAAAAATAAGATCTCTAACCCAAAAAGTACTCCAAGACGTCAAATTTTCTCGCACAGAGGAAAGTCGCCAGAGACGCTCCCTGCGCCTGAAGTTACACAGACCGCAACACCTCGGAAACGCCAAGAAAGATTCGGAAGCACTTCTTGCATACCGCCAGCCCGCAGGCATCACGCCGTCACAATCCGTCAAGAAGCACGCATTTTAGAAGCAAAGCGTCTGTCGCAGCCACGACTCAGAATCCAACGCATGAGACATCCGACCTTCCAACGCTACAAGGACTCCCACCCTTGTTCGTTCCTCAATACTAACCAGGTTGTGCCATCATCATCATCATAAACATGGGGTATGAGCCAGGCCGCGTCGCCAATACATCATAGCGTCATATATATATATATATATATATATATATATATATATATATATATATATATATATATATATATATATATATATATATATATATATATATATATATATATATTTCTTGAAAGTCTTCCTGGATTCCGGTCGAGTTAAAAGTCAACAGAAGAAGCGAATGAGCAAACGAAAAACGATGCTTTATTGCCAACGTTACGGCCGGGGACCGGCCTTCGTCAGGGCATACGTATGCCCTGACGAAGGCCGGTCCCCGGCCGTAACGTTGGCAATAAAGCATCGTTTTTCGTTTGCTCGTTCACTTCTTCTGGTGACTTATATATATATATATATATATATATATATATATATATATATATATATATATATATATATATATATATATATATATATATATATATATATATATATATATATATATATATATATATATATATATACATATATATATATATACACTGTCTTATTTAAATTGAACTTCATATGCAGTTTTGCACACTATTCGCCAATTTTATTCAGGTCTTGTTGGAGCGCAACTACAACGTCCATGCCTTTCATTTCTTTATATAACAAATAATCATCGGCGAAAAAACGCATTTGGGATTGCATTAGTATCGTCAGATATATCAATTATGTATAAAAGAAATAACAATGGTCCCAACACAGACCCTTATTGAGGTACCCCGGACGTGATATTCGCAATTCCAGATTAAGCTCCGTTAACAATGACGAACTGCTTTCGTGATATGTTATGTAAGTAATAATCTGTGGGTGTATATTATAAACTACAAGTTTTTTTTTTTTTTTGGCTCGCCCCGCCGCGGTGGTCTAGTGGCTAAGGTACTCGGCTGCTGACCCGCAGGGCGCGGATTCAAATCCCGGCTGCGGCGGCTGCATTTCCGATGGAGGCGGAAATGTTGTAGGCCCGTGTGCTAAGATTTGGGTGCACGTTAAAGAACCCCAGGTGGTCGAAATTTCTGGAGCCCTCCACTACGGCGTCTCTCATTTATATATAGTGGTTTTGGGACGTTAAACCCCACATATCAATCAACCAAATCAAGTTTTTTGGCTCTTGTAAGGGATGATCAGTAGGAAAATACAGTTCACGACCAGTTAACTAACCAAAAATTGAATATGACTGGCACTGCTGATTCGCACAAAGCACTGCAATGTCTTTTCGCTTTTTCGTTGCCGCCAATGGTAAACAAACCACAAGTTGTGCACAAAAATGTTCCTGAGTGCAATGTGCAGTTGAGCCAAAGTTGAGGCAAGAATAGCTCAAGGTTTATCGGTGGTTGTGGTTAGAAGAAGAAGAAGGCACCTAATTTTTGCAGCCGGTGGCACGGTGCAGCGCCTGTAGCATATGAACTTCGTTCTCATCCTCTCTCGGCTATGGCACCATATCTCGGCTGCCACTTCGACGAAACCGAAACCAACGTACACCACCGTCTCCCAATAATGGCGGAACCGGAAGTCACCTGCTGCTACCGCCCTATCACGTTTCAGACGAAAACTTGCGGGATTAAGTGTTCTGTGGGATATCCATGGATAGGAACATGGCAGAGGCAGCAGTTGAAACGCCTGCTGTGCGGTTTTTCTGCCACAAATGCAGCCAGGAAATTAACCCTGTATTACCGGTAAGAATGCTTTATCGCACTGTGTAATTTCTAAGGCTTTAAGAATGCTGACTTTCTTCGGCTGGTAACTTTACTGAGGGCGCGTCTAGGCCTAAAATTGCTATCGCTGCTGCTCAGCGGTGATGCTATGTGACTGCCCCATTAAATGTAAACTTAGAAAGAAAAAGAAATAGAAAGCACTCTTCTAGGCTTGAATTTACGCTCGATCGTCATCTATAAGAGCCATGTTATGAGCTGCCTGAACGTGTGGATTGCATTTGGAGTGCAGTGGCATTTGGTTTATAGTGCTTACATTTCCGATTAAATTTGTAGGGATAACCGGTGCAAAAGTGCGCGACTACTTCGTTTACGCGTTCTAGTTGCGTTTAAATGTCGCGAACGGTGCATCCATCCTCGTCGTTCCAGTGGCGGGCTTCTCTGTTTACACCATGGGACATAAAAGGCGCTAAGGGCTATGTGCATAGATTCCTTCGAGCGGTGACGCTTGGCCGCGCCAGCTCGCTGGCGCATTGCGTAGCGTGCGCTGTGTGTGCGAGTTTCGCGAGATCGGGCTCGTAGTTCAGCGCTGTTGTTCATGTTTGTGTTGCAGGACTACATTTGCCCCCGGTGTCAGTCGGGTTTCATTGAAGAATTGGCGCACGGTCCCCCGGAGCACTCTATGTAAGTCCTCTCTGCTGACGGGCTGCTTTGTCTGACAGCCCGCGTGCGCTGAACCGTCCTCGATAGACCATTGACCCTTGTGTCAGTCGCAGTCGTATACGCAATATTTAGCCTCGAGGGGGGCTGTGCGTGCCCAGTTGTTTATCATTCTCGTTTACACGAATACGCCCATCGGGCAACTAATAACTCCGGAAACTTGCTCGTACTCTCGTGCGCTTTCGTTTAATCTGAATATGCGTACCTAGCAACCTACTTTCAACTAGAAGATCGACTGAGAAAAGGATTGTGTTTAATATTATACGAATGTGTGTGAACAAAAGTTTATCGAACTATACCAGAATTCTTAAATTGAATTTTCGCAATTGTGCCTTGGATGGATGTATGGCAAGAGTTGTATACATGGTGTTCGTCTTATTTTATGCTTCTTTCCTAAGCATAAATATTTACCTTCTGAAAGATATGCACTTTATTTTTTATTCTAAGTCGTCGTGCACGAAGCAGGGGTACTGTGTAAGTATTCCAACATTATGGGAGCATACAGACTGTGACCTGAAGCTTACGTCAGGTTCCCTTCTTTTACAGAGAGGACTCTGATGACGACGTAGACCATGCTGCGCAATTTAGAGAGGTGAGTCAGTACTCAGTGGAGCAATGTGTTCTTTAAAAATATATATATATATATATGTATTGTGATGAACCTGTTCATTCAGCCAGGCTCGAGCTAAATCACACTGGTGATGATATTTATAGATTATGATGCACAGGTGATGATGATGTCTAAAGAGAATGACGAGTCATTCGCTTGTCGCGCTGACACTAATTCCCCTGCGCAGTGAAAGCGGACACCTGGTGGCCTAAGAGTATTATGAAATGCGTCGCATATAAGGCTTTAAACGGGATACATGCACAGTCTCTGTCCCTCGGCAACGATGATCAGGATTAGTGCCAAGAGGAGAAACGCAGTAATTGACAGGAGATGTCTGTTTGACCACCGTGTATGGCCCAATGAAGCGACTGATGAATTTGTCGCATAAGCCGGGGACGTGCATTTGAGTTCATAGAAGAACTTTGTCACCGGGGGGGAAAAGTCACAACATGGTGAGACGAGTCGTAGCGAGACTTTCGAGTGTCTTGAGAGAGGCTGGTGTTGACGCGGGCCAGTTGACGGCGCTGTGCGAGACGAGATAAAAATTCTTCAGAGAAAGGAGCCGTCGAGGGTGCAGGGGCCGAAAGGAAAGACGTCCAGAGCGAAACTTGGCGAGCGACCATGGACGAGAAAAAAATGAAAAAAAGCTGGTAGTGCGTTGAGCAGCCGTATTATAAGCGAATATCACGAAGGGTAGAATTGCATCCCAGTTCGTATGGTTGGGGTAAATGTACATCGTGATCATGTCCGCTAGGGTCCAATGAAAGCGTTCAGTCAATCCGTTGGTGTGCGGGTGGCAGCTAGAAGTGGTCTTATATGAACAGTGTTGGAAGCACGCAAAACTTGCTCAACAGTAGAAGCGAGAAAGACTTTGCCACGATCCCTCAGGAGAACGTGTGGGGCTCCATGACGCAAAAAGATGTGGCGAAAAAATAAATCAGCGACCTCAGTGGCAGTCCTATATGGTATAGAAATTGTTTCTGCGTAGCGGGTAAGGTGGTCGACGGTTGTGACAATCTAGCGATTCCCATTGCATGATATAGGAAGAGAGCCATATAAGTCTATTTTAGCGAGTTCAAAAGGCGAGGTGGGTCCCGTTGCGGTGGTCTAGTGGCTAAGGTATGCGGCTGCTGACCCGCAGGTCGCGGGATCAAATCATGGCTGCGGTGTCTGCATTTTCGATACAGGCAAAAATGCTGAGGCCCGTGTGCTCAGATTTGGGTGCACGTTAAAGAATCACAGGTGGTCGAAATTTCCGGAGCCCTTCACTACGGCATCTCTCATAATCATATGGTGGCTTTGGGGCGTTGAACACCACATATCAATCAAAAGGCGAGGCGGGACAAGGAAGAGCTTGCATTAAGCCAGCCGGAACAGTTGTCGGTCGCTTTCGCCATTGGCATTGGACACAGGAGACGACGCACTCAGCGAGGGCTGGAAAGAAGCCAGGCCAAAAACGACGACTTCATATTTTGTCGTAAGTCTTGTGATAGCCTAGATTAGTGGTGGTTGGATCATCATGAAAGGCTTCCAGAACTTCACGTTGTAGAGAACGTGGGATGACGGGTACCCACTTGTTGCCATCGATGTGGTAAATTTAGTGGTGTAAAGCACCACCGACAAGCTTAAATTGTTTAAGTTGTCGACGAAGTTGGTCGTTTGGAGGAGTAGTAGAGCCGGTCAAGCGGTCAACATTGGTGCGGCAGTATGGGTCGGCACGTTGTTGTGAAACAAGGACGGATAGGGTGCCAGGTGATGAACTTAGCGCTGCGATAGGAGAACTCTCGTTTTGGAGTATCGATGATGAGTGGCCTCCGCTGGGCAAAGGACAGTGCAATAGAGCATCAGCATCTTGATGCTTCTTCCCAGTTGTGTAAATAACCTCGAAATCATACCGTATTTTCGCGCATTTAACCCGCACCAAAAACCCAAAAATTTCAGTGGCAAAGTGGAGGTGCGGATAATACGCGGGGTTTTTCCTATAGTGCTGCTTCACAGCATTGCAAGTTGTGCTGTGAAGCCCCTTAACAGTGTAGCGAAGGCTACGGAGGCGGTTTCCGCAAATTCGTGTTGCTCCGCAAGTAGCACGGCAGCTTGCGGCCGATTTTGGTTTCGCTTGCTTGCATCGTTGAAGCGTTTAGAAAAACATTTGGGGAGAGACAATCCGATTGTTCAGTGTAAAATCTCACTGTCACATCACAAGTATATTTTTTGGACGTTCGCGGCCGCTCAGTGACCCTCCATGTGTCCCTACATCACGGACGCCATGTTTACTTTTGGAAAGGGCTTGCTGAAAAGGTGGTGCTGTCTAAGAAAGTTCCATAATAAATAAAGTGTGTTCCATAATAAATAAAGCAGTATTTATTTCAGCAAGGCAAATGAGATATTATAGTGCCTATAGAGATATTATCAGTAAATTAATGTACTACTTTTTGACGCGGTAGCAAGCATGCATTTCGGTTCTGTTGTTTCCAGGGTGCTGTTACAGTGTACTAAAAGGGGTAGTGCTGTCAAGTTGTCGCAGAGTGTGAGCGCTCTTTACCTCGCTGATACCGCTAGTTCTCCACATCTCGACCCGTTCGCCAAGCCTAAGTCGATCTGTTCTGTCACCATGAGTAGCGTACAGCGGCAGGCTTTCACGGCACAGCAAAAGCTTAAGATCATTGCCGTCGCCGAGGAATTCGGAAATCGCCAAGCGGGAGGACGGCACGATGCGGACGAGTCCTGCGTGCGACTGTGGAGAAAGAAGAAAGAGAGCCTACAAGCCGCGCAACGCGACCGTAGGTCATTTTGTGGCCCCAAGACTGGTGCCTACCCTGAGCAGGAGGCAGAGGTAGTAAAGTTCATCGAAGATGTGAAAAGCAGGGGTCACGCCGTATTGACCGAGATGGCCCAAGTGGAAGTGCGGCGATTTTCGAGGGAGCTAGGCCTACCTCACGAGTTCCGTGCGAGCCGCGGATGGCTGCACCGCTTTATGAAGCGGCAAGGGCTCTCAATCAGACGGCGGACTTCAATATGTCAACGCTTGCCGGCTTCTTATGAGGAGAAGCTGCTCAAGTACCAGAGATATGTAATTGGCCTGCGAAAGCAGCACAATTACATTTTCTCGCAAATCGGCAATGTGGATGAAACTCCTGTTTATTTTGAAATGCCGTTGGACACAACGATTGAGAAGACGGGCAGCAGTTCGGTGAGTGTGCTGACCGGCGGGAACACGAAACTGCGCATCACAGTCTTGCTTTGTGCCCTCGCCGACGGCACGCAATTGCGACCGTACGTCATCTTGAAAAGGAAAACTCTACCAAAGGTTCATTTGCCTGCCGGTGTAGTGGTGCGCGCACACGAGAACGCGTGGATGAACAGTGACTTGTTCGTAGACTGGATCAAGACGGTATGGGAGAAGAGGCCTGGTGCGATGCTCGCAAAAAGGTCCATGCTCGTTCTTGACTCGTTCCGCGGCCACACAACTGAGGAAGTGAAGGACCGCCTTTCACGCAACGGCACCGAGTTAGTTGTTATACCCGGTAGAATGACGTCAATGTTGCAGCCTCTAGATGTGTCGCTTAACAAGCCCTTCAAAGCGCATGTCAAGCGCTATTACGCTGAGTGGATGGCCGAAGGCTGCTACGACTTGACGCCGACAGGACGAGTCCTGATATTGCCCTATTCTGCTAGTGGATTGTCGAGGCATGGAAGGCCATTCCAGGTGAGATGGTGCGAAAAAGTTTCAAGAAATGCTGCATCACAAACAACATGGATGGAACTGAAGATGACCTTGTGCATAATAGTGAGGACTGCAGCTCAAGTGATAGCTCTAGCGAGAGCAGTGACAGTGAGTGAATTGTGACTGGCCTTGCAGACAGCGTATTCTGCTTGCTAAATAAAGCTTTTTCTGTCTACATATGTGCTATGTTGCTTAAGAAGTAATCTTTGCATTGCCCAAACAACAGCAAGGCACTCCTGCTCGGTGATAGTGTAGTTATTTTCTGCAGCGGTAAGAACATGACTTGCGTAAGCAACGACGCGTTCACATGAGTTTTTGTAGCGCTGCAAGAGTATCGCACCTAGACAATAACTATTAGCGTCGGTGTGAAGGATGGTGGGTGCGCTTCGATCGAAGTGGCACAGTACGGGATCCGACGTGAGGGCTTGCTTCAAAGCCGTGAAAGCGCTATCGCAGTCTTCAGACCAAACGAAGATGGCGTTCCTTGCGAGGAGTTGAGGGAGCAGAGACGCAAGTTTCACGAAGCCACGTATGAAGTGCTGGAAGAAGCTAACCCAAGAAAGCTGCACAGGTCCTTTTGACGTAGCGGATGAGGAAAATCGAGGACGGCGGCAAGCTTTTTTGTGTCCGGACGAATTTCTTCTTTGCTGACGAGGTGGCTGAGAGCCTTGATTGTCTTGCTAGCAAAGGTACATTTCTTGGTGTTTAGCTGTAGGCCGGCTTTTGCAAGGCATGTGAGGACTTCGCCAAGATGTTGTAGATGCTGCGAGAACGTGGATGAAAACACTACTATGTCACCGAGATAGCACAGACACGTTTTCCATTTCAAACTACGCCATACGGCGTCTATCATGCGTTCAAAGGTGGCGGGCGCATTACAGAGTCCAAAAGGCATCACATTAAACTCTTACAACCCATCTGGCGTTGAAAAGGCGGTCTTCTCTTTTATCAGACTCCGACATTGGTATCTGCCAGTAGCCTGATCTAAGGCCGAGGCTAGAAAAATACTCGGCGCCCTGTAATGAATTCAGTGCGCCGTCGATCCGAGGGAGAGGATAAATATCCTTGCACATTGTTTTGTTTAGCGCACAGTAATCGACGCAGAAACGCACTGTCCCATCTTTCTTGTGAACGAGAACAACTGCGGATGACCAGGTACATGAGGAATGATGTGTGATGTTGCGTCGTAGCTTGTCTGAGACGTTTTCCTCGATCTTGCGATCTGCCTGAGACACGCGATATGGATGCCAATGTACAA